GGCGCTGGGCTCAAGTGGTAGAGCGCTAGCCTTGAGCTGAACAGCTGAGGGACAGTGCCCAGGCCCAGAGTTCAAGCCCCATGACTGGACCCCAAAAAAAAAAAAAGAATAAGCAGACTGGCATAGCCCAAGTGTGACTACTATTTCATAATGGAACTTTTACAGAGGGCACTTTACTCTGACGTTAAGTGTTCAACTCCCTAATCAAGATGACAAATTTAACTTAGGAGCTGTAAAGCCCTCTCTTTGCACAGGAAATATAACTTCCTCTTTCTAAAAACTCCTCTCCCCTAATCCTTTCAGACACTATAACCTTCCCTCAAAAACCTTAGTTTCTCTCATTGTCCTTACACACTTCTATCAATAAAAACAAGTCCAAGTTCAGGATAGGTTTTATATTTGGATCAAAAATACAATCTAGTATTCTCTATCTGTACTTACACAAGTGGACAAATTATTATATTGAAAGTGATACCTTTATGATCTTGGCAGTCCGATAGCACACTGTTTTCATCTAAAAATTCGACTTCCTCATACCACTTCTCTCCAGAATGAACAGGCAAAGTCTCAGACCCGATTAAAGGTGAAAGTGACCTGGATCTCATACTGGACAGAAGAGATGATGGAGCAGGAGGAGACTGAGAGGATGGTGGCTTCTTTGCTTTGGTGTGTCTTTTCTGAGGACCTTTCTTCATTGTAAAAGTAGAGTCAGGTAACCATCAAAATCTGGAAGAGTTTTCAATATATTCAATAACTTAATTTTTCTACAGCTGTCAAAATTATTATCTCTAGAGCTGTTAAGACTAAAGCTATAACCTCAGAATCTATGAATTTTCCAAACTGATGGAGCAGATACTATTTCAAATATTGCTGATCATTTATTATGGAGCAAAGACCTCCATGAACTGCAGTATGAACTCATGTTCCAAGGAGAAGTGTCTCTTGACATGTCTTTTGAGTTTATGGGACTGAACTAGTCACCAAGTCTTGTCTACACACATAAAGGGTCCAGGCTCAAGCTGGAAATAATGGTAACCAGAAGTCTTTAACATTGATGGGATTTTTTCCTTCCAGGCCTGTGGCTGCTGACACCACATTCTCTCAGTGCCCACTTGCCTCACTAGCCATGCCATGGATACCTTTGCCGGCTAATTTTCCTCTATTTAGTCTTAATTCAAATGTCAGTACTCCTCAAAATTTTCTTCTAATTCCTCTTTAATCTCATTTTGTTCAATATAAACACAACCAGGACTCCCAATGCTGGTATTTATGTTTGATCTGACCTGTCTCTGAGATCTTTCCAACTAGTTGATATTTCATTGGCATCATATGAATAACATTCTAATCTCAATACAATTTACCATTTGGATTCTTCCCTCAGTCTCTCCTTACCTGTTCCCCCTGCAACGCTCTAACCAATGTTCATGGAAACAAGCCAGAAACCTGGGAGTCACTCTTAACACCTCTCTCTTCCTTATTTACACACTCAATCATAAATCCTAAATATCTCTATTTCTGTTGATCTCTAGTCTTGTCTACTCTATTTTGGTCTAATTACTAAAAGCTTCTAATTTATCTGTCTATATACTCTCATATCTTCCCCTTTCATCACTACATGATAGACAGAGAACCAGAATGATCTGTTTAATAAGTAGGATATACTATTGGAGAGATACTTCAGTCAACAGAGCTTTGGGATTTACAATGTTCGAGAATGGCTGATAATATGTCAAAGACTACAGTCTTGAGGTAGTAAATCTTAAATAGCAATTTAAAAAGTGGAAATGTAGTTTAGGATATACAAAGACTAAGCAAAGGCAAGGAGAAGATAGTTGAGAATGAATGAAGAAACAAAAGAGACAGAAAACAAGCATAAGAGCTGGAGATACATTTTAAAGACCCCAAAGATGGTCTACAGAGCAACTAGAAAGCACAGGAATACTGTGATAATCCAAATCCTTCATATAACCTGGCAATAAAATTCTAGATACCCACAGACCCAAATAACCTGATCTAAAAGCCCCACTCATCACAGACAGTAAGGGGGCAAATTCTACCTCTTATCTAACCTTTCCTAATTCCTAGTTTTCTATCTTCCTCTCTGATTTTCAATGTGGCAGATCTTGATACCCCCAAATCTTCCATCTCTCCTTGCTGACCACCTCTGTATACCTTCATATTCCCTACCACACTTCCTTTATAGTCTTTAATCACATCTCAGTACTTTCCTTGATTTTTCATTCCATGACCTTTGCTTATTTAAAAACCCTTACCTTTAATTTTCTGTAGTCTTGTCTTCAAACCCATTCCCATATCTCTTAAATTTATCTAACCAACACATTCCAACTAAAGCCATCTCATCTTTCTGTGCTGACTACTTGGGCCTCTTTCCCCACCTTCTCTCATTCTGATTGCCAAGTTTCCAGTTTTGGTCCCCGTTTCCTTATACCATAGTAGTCACTCCCATTTCTCTGATTCTTCCTAGTACCCCCTTCCCATAACCTCTGTATCGGCCCTGTCTTCCCAAATTGCTTCCTCTCGGCAAATATTCTGATATCCTGATCTATTCCAACACACTGACCCACGCACTACTCAGTCACCCATTTCTTTTCATCCCAACTACACTGTCTACCTAATTACCTTCCCACAGCAATACACCAGTCCATATGTCCTTCTCTATCAATTCCAAATTCCCTCTCCCATCTCACTCACTGTACTAAGATTCCCCACATCCAAGCTTTTCATTTAATATATCTAATTTTATTGAGCAACTTTTATGTGTGAAGACTTGTGTTAAGACTCTTAAGAATACAGGGTTTCTACAGTCAAGAGTTACAGGAGTCTATCTCCCTATTCAACATGTTCCCTGAGCTAAGTGGGGGGTCTCTTCTATTAAACAATTTTACTCTTGGAATTAAATGTTTGCAAAAGTACCAAGTCTTTTTCTTCTAGATTATAACTTACCAGAGATCAAGCTGTCTGTTATAGAACGGAGCTTGAAAACTCAGCGCTCTCTCTTAGCTTTTGAGCCACACCTCCAGTTCCCACGCTGCCCTAAGTTCAATCCCCACAGACATACCATACAAGAGCAGAATCACATACAAGTGGCGGTGTATCGTCAGCAATCTAGGCCTCGGATTCTGAGTTCAAGTTCTATTTTGTCATCCGCGGTGAGACGTTAGACGCCCTACTTCACTTTTTCCGTGTTCCGTGCAATCACTTTTTAAACGCTCCGCGCACCTCCCTCCCGTCATCTTTCCCTATGCCGGTCTTCCCCTGGGTGCTCCCGGGATGCCCCGCGCATCGTTATCCCTGTCACTCATTCACCTGACACCCGCCCCCCCCCGCCCCCGACCCACACGCCCCCGCCCTGCGCGCTCCCCCACCCCCGACCCCTGTCAATCTCCAC